GAGATCCAGATGTTAGGGAAAGGGGAAGGGAGTGCAGGGCCTACTGCAGGTGGCCCGGGAGAGTACAGAGGTGACGCTCCAGAAGTAAGGATCTTCACACCGTGGGTCCCGGACAGCAGAGAGAGTGGGCTGGTCAATGAGAGTGGAAGTACTGCTCCTAGACAGCATCCCTAATCCCTCCTGTGCAGTTGGCTGCTGGTTCCCCGTTGCTGCCTCCTCAGCAAAGCCTTTAGCCCTGCTCGCTGCTGACCAATATGCCCTGATGGGCATTTTCGGTGACTTCTACATTCAGAGTGATAGTCTATCCCACACGTGGCCTTTGGGTCCCTGTCCTCGTCTCCTGTTGCAAACACTGTTGCTCTTTTCCCCAGAGGTCATGTTTGTTTTCCACACTGAATAACGGTCATACTACTAAAGGTGTGTTGTTCGGTCTCCTGTTGATAGCAGGCACATTCCCAGGGAATGCGTCCTGGCAAGAGGACACTGGTCCTCCTCTCTCTTTGCTGGAATTGGTTGGGAGTGAAGAGGGCTTTCCCCCCAGTTCTGGCCAATAGGGCCCCAGAGCCAGCCCACTGAGTGCCTACTGTAGGCAGCAGGTAGTTTATTTCATTAACTGAAGAAGGGCAGGTGATAGGAATCCTTCCCCAGTCTTGCCTTGACCGGGTAGTGTGAATATGCAATGCTTGGAGCCACAGCAGCCAAAGACTGTGAGGAGAGGGTAGGCAGAGTGCAGAGCAGCAGGTGCCAGGGCTCTGCTGGCCGGGGACACTGCCCACCACGGGCCCGCCTACCTCGGCCACCTTGTTGCTGAGATCATGACCACCTGTGTTGACGCCTCTTTGTGCCCAAGGAAATCACATGAAACTGAAACTACCCAGTGGATACATTGCATCCCCAGAATGATCCATGTATGTTATATAAATATTTCTTGTGCTGACCCTACTTAAATTTGTATTTACCTGGATGAGACATCGGCCACTGTAAGTCAGAGCCATAGCTCATTCCCCTTGCATCCCTGGTGCCCTAGCATCTTGGTTCCCTCAGTCTGTGCTCAACGTATGTAATGAATAAAAGTGTCATCAATGGCTTACAGTCTCAGCCTTCAGCAGAGCACAGCCCTTCACCCAGACAAATTCTTCACTATGTAAAACAAAACTGGCACACACAAAACCAGAGCTTGACATCAAGGACCTGACAACTGAGTGCTCTACCTGTGGTCGCTGCTGTGACAGCCAGTCAGGGACGTGTGTGGGCCTGGCCCAGCTGACGCAGAGCCCTTGGGTGAAGGCGTTTGTCCCCACAACCCCTGCATGGAGGGGAGCTGCCTACAGACAGCCCTCCGAGGGGTATGCTGGGATCTGCACTCTCTATCGAGGTGCTTCATCCTCCCGTCCTTCTAAGAGAGCGTTATTCCATCAGCCCGATTCCACCTGCTGACCGCACACAGGGCAGGGAGGCCATCATCTCAGTGAAGCATTGGCCCACTTCTTCCAGCCGCACACTCAGAGAAGGCATATCGTGATCTCAATTTAAATCAATATGCTCCCTCCTCTCAAAACCCATGGGGAAGGCTGAGCATTATCTCCTTTACACCAGTCACCTTATTTCCATCTCCCATGGAGGAAGCTGCCTCCATTTCTTCACTGAGGAAAAGCAGGCAGAGACGGTGAGCCCCTTCTCATCACATGGCCCTCATGGCATGGATGCCCGAGGCATCCAACTGGTGAGTAAGGCTTTAGAACTAACTCTGGCCTTGGCCCTGGAGTCCGTGCTGCAGGGCCTCCTGGTGGCAGGAGTGTGCAGAGAGCTCCTAAGGAGATGCGTGCAAACGTGCTGCCAAAACACGCCTAAAAATCATCTGGGAAGGAAAGTGGGACATTGACAGTGAAACCTAGGGGCTGGCAGCAGAGATGGGAAGTGACAGCTGTAAAGTCTTCCTGGTGCAGCGGGGGAGCTTGTGGACGAGAGAGCACGCCAGGGGTCTCACTTGGATGTGGGCTGTAGTGGGAGAGGCTCACAACATTGGCTTCTCTGTGGAAGGTAGACCCCAGAGCTGGTCATGTCCCCAGCCGCCCCCGAGGTCTGCCCAGGGATGACGCCTTCTGTGGGAGCCACGCTTCTTGCCAGTGGCCATACCCCTCTGGGACCTTTCCTCAGACCTTGGCATCAGCACCCCCTGTGCTGTGAGCATCCTTCTTGGTCAGACTGGTGCTGACCATGGCAGAGAAGTCTGATATTACCTTGCTTAACAGCTGGAGATTGAAACAGGACAATAAGGATTGAAGGGCTGGGCTGGGGGCATGCCCCTCCTGAGTCTGGGGGTTCACTTCTCTGCCAGGCATCAGAGGACCCATGGCTCTCTGCCTCCTGCTCGCACTCAGGGGTCACTGCTGCAGGCCACTGGCATGCTTTGCTTCCTCACAGTTCTTGTTTGAGGATGAGAGCCCATTTTGTTTGGACAGGGATTCTGCCTACCCCCTTCCCTTCCCACCATCGCAACCTTAATGGCACACAGAGATTTGGGAGGCCCCCTTCACTCTCTTGCATTTTGGCCAAGACCTGACCTGCCATCTGCCAAGATCTGAAAGTTGGTCCTCCCCTGGTCAGTGCCACTGTGTCCTGAACCCCGTGCTCCTGGGCCTGTCTGGGCCCCCTGTGAATGGACTGCGGTAGAAAAAAAAGGTGGGCCGCTTTCTGGGTAGCACCAGCTCCAAGGAATCTGAGGACACCAATCCATCGGGCCCACTCCTCACCGGCATTCCACCCAAGGGGAGGAGAGGCCCTGGATGCTGTCCCTGCAACTGCTCCCTTTGCTGTTCCAGTGGCTCCCACGTGATAGTCGGTTCTGAGATCCAGATGTTAGGGAAAGGGGAAGGGAGTGCAGGGCCTACTGCAGGTGGCCCGGGAGAGTACAGAGGTGACGCTCCAGAAGTAAGGATCTTCACACCGTGGGTCCCGGACAGCAGAGAGAGTGGGCTGGTCAATGAGAGTGGAAGTACTGCTCCTAGACAGCATCCCTAATCCCTCCTGTGCAGTTGGCTGCTGGTTCCCCGTTGCTGCCTCCTCAGCAAAGCCTTTAGCCCTGCTCGCTGCTGACCAATATGCCCTGATGGGCATTTTCGGTGACTTCTACATTCAGAGTGATAGTCTATCCCACACGTGGCCTTTGGGTCCCTGTCCTCGTCTCCTGTTGCAAACACTGTTGCTCTTTTCCCCAGAGGTCATGTTTGTTTTCCACACTGAATAACGGTCATACTACTAAAGGTGTGTTGTTCGGTCTCCTGTTGATAGCAGGCACATTCCCAGGGAATGCGTCCTGGCAAGAGGACACTGGTCCTCCTCTCTCTTTGCTGGAATTGGTTGGGAGTGAAGAGGGCTTTCCCCCCAGTTCTGGCCAATAGGGCCCCAGAGCCAGCCCACTGAGTGCCTACTGTAGGCAGCAGGTAGTTTATTTCATTAACTGAAGAAGGGCAGGTGATAGGAATCCTTCCCCAGTCTTGCCTTGACCGGGTAGTGTGAATATGCAATGCTTGGAGCCACAGCAGCCAAAGACTGTGAGGAGAGGGTAGGCAGAGTGCAGAGCAGCAGGTGCCAGGGCTCTGCTGGCCGGGGACACTGCCCACCACGGGCCCGCCTACCTCGGCCACCTTGTTGCTGAGATCATGACCACCTGTGTTGACGCCTCTTTGTGCCCAAGGAAATCACATGAAACTGAAACTACCCAGTGGATACATTGCATCCCCAGAATGATCCATGTATGTTATATAAATATTTCTTGTGCTGACCCTACTTAAATTTGTATTTACCTGGATGAGACATCGGCCACTGTAAGTCAGAGCCATAGCTCATTCCCCTTGCATCCCTGGTGCCCTAGCATCTTGGTTCCCTCAGTCTGTGCTCAACGTATGTAATGAATAAAAGTGTCATCAATGGCTTACAGTCTCAGCCTTCAGCAGAGCACAGCCCTTCACCCAGACAAATTCTTCACTATGTAAAACAAAACTGGCACACACAAAACCAGAGCTTGACATCAAGGACCTGACAACTGAGTGCTCTACCTGTGGTCACTGCTGTGACAGCCAGTCAGGGACGTGTGTGGGCCTGGCCCAGCTGACGCAGAGCCCTTGGGTGAAGGCGTTTGTCCCCACAACCCCTGCATGGAGGGGAGCTGCCTACAGACAGCCCTCCGAGGGGTATGCTGGGATCTGCACTCTCTATCGAGGTGCTTCATCCTCCCGTCCTTCTAAGAGAGCGTTATTCCATCAGCCCGATTCCACCTGCTGACCACACACAGGGCAGGGAGGCCATCATCTCAGTGAAGCATTGGCCCACTTCTTCCAGCCGCACACTCAGAGAAGGCATATCGTGATCTCAATTTAAATCAATATGCTCCCTCCTCTCAAAACCCATGGGGAAGGCTGAGCATTATCTCCTTTACACCAGTCACCTTATTTCCATCTCCCATGGAGGAAGCTGCCTCCATTTCTTCACTGAGGAAAAGCAGGCAGAGACGGTGAGCCCCTTCTCATCACATGGCCCTCATGGCATGGATGCCCGAGGCATCCAACTGGTGAGTAAGGCTTTAGAACTAACTCTGGCCTTGGCCCTGGAGTCCGTGCTGCAGGGCCTCCTGGTGGCAGGAGTGTGCAGAGAGCTCCTAAGGAGATGGGTACAAACGTGCTGCCAAAACACGCCTAAAAATCATCTGGGAAGGAAAGTGGGACATTGACAGTGAAACCTAGGGGCTGGCAGCAGAGATGGGAAGTGACAGCTGTAAAGTCTTCCTGGTGCAGCGGGGGAGCTTGTGGACGAGAGAGCACGCCAGGGGTCTCACTTGGATGTGGGCTGTAGTGGGAGAGGCTCACAACATTGGCTTCTCTGTGGAAGGTAGACCCCAGAGCTGGTCATGTCCCCAGCCGCCCCCGAGGTCTGCCCAGGGATGACGCCTTCTGTGGGAGCCACGCTTCTTGCCAGTGGCCATACCCCTCTGGGACCTTTCCTCAGACCTTGGCATCAGCACCCCCTGTGCTGTGAGCATCCTTCTTGGTCAGACTGGTGCTGACCATGGCAGAGAAGTCTGATATTACCTTGCTTAACAGCTGGAGATTGAAACAGGACAATAAGGATTGAAGGGCTGGGCTGGGGGCATGCCCCTCCTGAGTCTGGGGGTTCACTTCTCTGCCAGGCATCAGAGGACCCATGGCTCTCTGCCTCCTGCTCGCACTCAGGGGTCACTGCTGCAGGCCACTGGCATGCTTTGCTTCCTCACAGTTCTTGTTTGAGGATGAGAGCCCATTTTGTTTGGACAGGGATTCTGCCTACCCCCTTCCCTTCCCACCATCGCAACCTTAATGGCACACAGAGATTTGGGAGGCCCCCTTCACTCTCTTGCATTTTGGCCAGGATCTGACCTGCCATCTACCAAGATCTTAAGTTAGTTCTCCCCTGGTCAGCACCACTGTGTCCTCAACCCCATGCTCCTGGGCCTGTCTGGGCCCCCTGTGAATGGACTGCGGTAGAAAAAAAAGGTGGGCCGCTTTCTGGGTAGCACCAGCTCCAAGGAATCTGAGGACACCAACAAGGGATGCAGAGGGGAACAGCTGAGGAATACAAGGCCATGTGCATGAGCAGGCTGCCGCGACAGGGGGTCGCCTCAGGGGCATCTGTGCTGGCGGTGCAGGTGGGACCTGGAGTAGGAAGGACCCAAGGAGTGGCAGGGCTATCAACCAGAAGCCAGGTCAGCTGACCCCTGTGCTCCCTTCCCCAGCCAAGATTGGCAATGAGTGGGTCTTTCTTCAAGTGGGCTGGTGGGAGCTGGAGTCGGAGAGATGGTGAGAAGGCCGCAGCTAGGGACTCTCAGGGTCCTGGGAGCGTCCATGCCATGAGGACCAGTGTTCAGGTTGCTACCCTACACCCCACCTTACCTCACACCCCAGTGCTGTGTAAGCCAGAAGATTTATGTATGCAAGACAAGGGCAGGTTGGCATGGTGAGGAATCCATTGTCTATGGAAATTATTTTTTAAGTGAGCTGGGCTGATTGGGAGAGTAGTGAGCTGGACAATCATGCTGAGAAATGTCTCTAGAATCCAGTACATAAGGATAAGGAGGCAGAAAGTAAGAGAGACAAATCGAAGTGGCTCCAGCATGCACACACCAGGCCTGCTGCACAAGGCTGGGCCACAGGGAGGGGCAGGGCCTGAAGGAATGAGATCCTCTGAGAGTCCTAGCCCAGGTCAGCAGGTCGAAAGGGCCCTTGGACTATTTGATGCAGGAAAAAAATCAAATAGACCTAAGAGAGCAGGGATGAGTCCCCACCCAGTATGGTGCCATTAGCTCCCTCAAGAGGCTTCACCAGCTCTGCAAGGCTCTACTGCTCCCTTCACCCAGTTCATCCAGGGCTCCCCTTGTCCTGCATCTTCCTGGTCTCTTTCTGGCTCCCTCCCTACTGTCTTTTCTTTATGGTAGTTGTCACTGCCTGGCTTTATATGGGTTATGGTTTGGCTTACTTGCTTATGCCCCGTGGCTTGTCAGTTCCACAAGTAAGGCTCTGTCTTCCTGTTCATGGCTTTCTGCCCAGCACCTGGAACAGTCCTGGCATAGAGTAGATCCCCAATAAACATTTTTTAATGAGTGAATTAAGGCTATATATTCAATCTAAAAAGCCATTAGAGATCAATGCTATGTTGCCCACAAAGGAGAAGTAATTCCATTGAAAGCAGACTTCTCCTTAGCAACACTGAATACAGCAAGGGAGCAATGTTTTCAACTGCTGAGGGAAAAGCTCATGTAGCTAGAATTCTGTACCCAGCTAGATGATTAGGAGTGACTGGGAGATAAACATCTTTCCTCTCATTTAGATGCTGGTGCATGAGGCATGCACATGGCACACCCAGAGCGTGTGTGCACACAGGGTCTTGGGCCTGTCCATGGTTAGAACCCCTGCCCCAGCACAGGCACACCTTGATGCTGCTTTGCTGAGCTAGCCTCACGGTCGTGTTGTAATAACTGCACCACAGCAGCTGCTCCACCATTAGGTGGTCCATGTGCTTTTTCTTTAATATGCTGGCTGCCACAGGCTGGTCACTGCTGTGCTCCTTGAGGTGCTTGATCCTGCGCTTGTACAGTTTGGCACTCTCGTCCTCAGTCTGGATGGACTCCACTGCCTGGGACATGCAGCACACACACTCAGGACGGGGTTGGGAGCAGGCTGCCCATGCCCATGCCCATGCCCGCAGAAAGGAGGCAAGGGAAGGGCGAGGACACCGGACCGTCCCTGGACAGTGTGGCAGGTGTGTGCTGGGGAGGCATGTCTGACCTGCCCTACTGGAGGTACCACCACCCGGCTCTAGGGTCTATACCTCCTTCAGCAACACTGCCTCTGCTCTACATATTCTGGGGCTGCCAAATGTGTAATTTTAAAGGTTTTACCTTCCTGGTTAACTGAACCATTTATCATTACAAAGGCACTCTCTTTTTCCCCCTTCCTTCAAGTCAACGTTCCTCACAATAAACAGATGGAAATGCTCCTCTCCACACTGCCGAGGACAGCGGCTGTTAATCACCTTCAGTGTGGCTCAGCCAATGAGGGACTGACCCTGCAGTTCTACTCGGTGCCATGGGTCACACGTGGCTGTGGCCTGGACGGCGCAGGTCAAGCCTTGCAGCCGGCACTCTCTCAGCACACTCCACTATTTCTTCCCTTCCAATTGCTGTCAAGCCAGCTGGCAGGATACCTGATGTACCTTTAGAATTGGTATTTTCCCTCTCGCTGCTTTAAAGGTTTTTTTTCTTTCTCTTCTCTTTAGTTTCACTACATGAAAACCCTACATGGGTTTATTTTTACTTATCTCATTTAGGACTCTGAACTGGAGACTTCCATCAGTTCTGAGAATCTCTGCCCTGCACCTGTCTCTTCTGTGGACCCTAGGCCAATGCAGTCAGCCATTGCTGGCTTGGATGCCTCCCACCCCCATGTGCCTTGCCTCACCCTGCCACCCCCCTGCTATGTGCCCTGCCTCATCTGTGTTATGTTCCATGTTCTCCAGGCTTACTTCTAGCTCACTAATTGCCTCTAGTTTCATCTAATTATTAAGTGTTAAAATGTGTTATAACAAACATCTAAGTTTTTCATTTCAGTTACTATGTTTTCTATGTTAGAGTTTTATTTGGTTCTTTTTAAACTCAAGTCCCTTTTTATACTTTCTGCCCTGCAGGTATTTTCATCTTAAAAGTGGTAACCATGGTACCCGACAGCTGCTGACCCTGTGGTCTGTGCACATCTCTTCCTACTGTCTCTGCCACATCTCCTGTGCCTGCTTACCTCTGTGCTGACTGTACCCGAATAACTGGTGTCTTCTGCATGCAAGAACTGCATTTACTCAGCCTGGTGCCTGTGCACCACCAGCACCACTTAGACCTGAAGGTGAGGGGCTCCTGTTGCCCAGGGTCCTGACCTTGGCCTCAATGCTTTGAAAGGGTGAGTCTGCTCCTGGGACCCTCGTTTGGGTGCAGGCCTCCAGGGTAACCATCAGGCTCCTCTGCTGGCCTGGGTCCTAGTCTACCAAAGCCTCAGAGGGGCTCACGTTGTGTGGCTAGCACCCCAGGCCTGCAGTGGTGCCCTGCCTGCTCCCTCTCTTCTCCGGCCCCATGCCCCCAATGCTGGGGTCACCTTTCTGTCTGAGCTCTTCTGTACATAACTAAGATGTTTTAAAATGTCTATCACAATCTTGAGGTTGTTCTCAGTGGGCATATTAGTCCCAACTATCCTACTTTTTCCAGGAATGAGAAACCCTATGTGCTGTTTTGAGGTGAAATTCTGAAAATAATAAATCAGTCTGCTACCTTTCCTGGCCTTCTGTTTGGGCTGGACACTCTGGGCCTACATGAATAGGAACATAGGATTGTAAGCTGCCTGCCAGCCCGACAGAGGCTCCAGAGCACAGCCACGTGGAGGGAGATGCCCTCCCAGGCTCCCTGCTGCTGCATTGACAGCCCTACCTCGTACCACCTGGCCTCTGGTGCCCACACCCAGAGGGTGGCCCTGTTCCTGAAGTATGGGTGGGCAGGGTGGGGCCTGGGGGCAGGGCAGGCAGGATGGTGGGATGCAGACTGACCTTCCACTTGAGGATGCTAAGCTTTTCCACCATGCCGTCAGAAGGCTGACCACAGAGTCCACGGTAGGGCAGCCACTTAAGGTCTTCTCCAGCTTGGCCACCACCATGACATGGCTCGCCTCACGGTCGATGTTCTTCTGAGCAGCTCGAAAGCACTTATTCAGTGTTTCATAGGGCACCTGGAGGAGAGAGAAAGCTGAAGGGCCACCGGCCCACCGCTGTGCGAGGCCCAGTCCTACAAGGAGCTGCACCGATGAAGGGTCAGTCGCGCTCCTGGCTGAGGAAGCGAGCGCTGAGAAGCATCCTGTCTCTACATCTACAGGCGTAGTGCAGCCTCTGTTCTTTCCACAAAACTGTTGGTGCTCCCTGAGAAAACTGTCACCAGTCACCTAGAGTAACAAACAGGTAAGGAAATGAGCAAAAGGGGAGTAGTGCCAAGGGCTTTAATCAGTCAGTCAGAAAGACCCAGGATGAACTATGCTGAGACTGTGGGTGCAGCTGGGGTGGGAGGACATGCAGGCACACACGGTTTAAGGTTAAATAAAGTGCAGGCATCACATGCTGGGAAGTTATAATGTACATCTAACTCATCTCAATGAAAGAACACTTTTCTCCCAGCTATAAAAATAACCTTCCTACAGAATGCGTGAAAAATACAGACCAAGGGTAACTAGAGGGCTCCACTCCTGCTCTGCCTCCCAGAGAACGTGTGGCATAGAGCAGACATGGCAGAGAGCAGATACGGCAGACAGTGGACATGGCAGAGCATGCACGGCAAAGCACAGATGTGGCAGAGAGCAGCCATGGAAGAGCACAGATGTGGTAGAGCGTGCATGGCAGCACATGACGTGCCTCCCAGCCCTCCCTGTGCCCCCCCAGTGCTCATCACTATGTGACCAGGCTGTGGACCCAGCACTGCACCCTTGGGCATGCTGGGGACACCCACTGAAGACAAGAGGTTCCCATTGTTAGATGCTCAGCAGCATGCTATGTGGGTAGCCAGCAGGCCCGTGCAAAAGTCTGTGGCCACTACTCTACCCAGGCCCGTGCGAAGATCCTGTCTGCAGCTGTGCCTGGCTGTAGGGAAGGTCCCACCCCGAGGGTGCCCTGCCAGCTCCACCACCACTTGTGAGGCACCAACTGTGCTCCAGGCACTAAGCCTGGCAGAGAAGAGGCCCAGGGCTAGCTTGACATCTGGGCTTCTGGAGAGCTCGGACCCAGGGCCACAGCCAAGGGGGGACCACACACGGCTCCTCCCCAAAGACCCAGCAAGGCCAGCATGTCCTCACCCCTTGCTGCCACTCCCGCTCAGCGTCCCCAGGGACATGGCAGCAGAAGTAGACATCCCTGTCCACACCTCAGGGTGGCAGGCAGACCGCCACCAGATGAGCCTTGTGCGCCAGGGGCAGAGGGCATGGTCAGCGCAGCCGTCCCCGGGACTCTACTTGCTGATGAGCAAAGTCTCGCCCTGTGTAAGGAGGGCAGGGAGCTCTCGGATCACAACACAGCTCAGGCACTGGCACAGCAAGCAGCAGGAGACAGCCAGGCCCAGGGGGCCTGTTCTGGGGTTCAGAGCCACCTGTGGACCCCGGGTGAGCACTGGGCACCTGCCACGACTCCTGGGTGACACGTGCAGGCCTGTTGGGGCCATGTTGCTGGCCCCCCCACCTGCCCTCCTCCTGAGGTCAGTGCTCCCTGTACACAGTGGGAGGCTTCTTGCTTCTTCCCACACCCACCACCAAACATATCCCGCTTAGAGATGGCACCTAACAGTGCTGGGCATACAGCAGGTTCTAACAAATGTGGTCAATGACCGAAAGCAGGCAAAGTGCAGACAGGACGAAACACCACAGGGCAATGCTCTGGAGCACCCTCACCTCTACCCAGCCTGCCTCCCACCCTGGACTCCATCAGGGCTGCCCCGCCACGAGACAGGCTTTCTGGAAGGCATCAAGTACACTCAGTCTTTGCTACAGCCATGCCATGGTCTGGTGTGACTGAGATGGGGCATCTTTGCAATGGAAGCAGCAACGGGCTGCCCTCAACGTGGCGTGACATACACAATACCTGAGACACTGACATACCTGCAAACTGCCAGCACAGCAAGGAGGTGTCAGGAGTCCTCAATGGCATCTGCTGTCCGTGACCTCCCCAGGCCTGTCCCAGGCATCTGTGGTGCACAGGGAATGGAGCAGCTACTAGCAGATGGCCAGCTGTGAACACAATCCCCTGGCAAGTTGATACATGGACTTTCAGACGATTTATTAAATATAGCAGCAGCTTTGATGTTTTCATCATGCATATGGGAGAAATGTGCCATGATCCTCTTCTGATCTGTGAGAGAAGGATTCTCAAGTATCTACAGCCTTTAGGAATACTGAGATGTCATTTACAACATTATAATCAAGTCAGTGAATTTTCAAGTTAGACAAGCAACCAAATACAGATTTCTTCTGAAGGTTATTTTCACAGGACAGGGCAACAATTTCTAGTCACAGGAATTTAACAAGACTCTGCTGTGCAGAGTTGCAAATAGTTATGAAAATTCATAACTGTCCACTTTACAAAAAAAACATAATCTGTTGAAAGTTCTTAACTGGACCAACCAAATTCTCTGAACTACTTCTGTGATGTCAACCGGTGTCTTTCCCAGTGGCAGTGTGGGAGAGGAGCACAGTTCTCATCAACTGGACTCCTTTGGTTAATAATGAAGAATTGTTTTTCAAGGGAAGGCTCTGAAATTTCATTATAAGACAGTGTAAGAAAATAACCAGCCTGTGGAGCTGTATTTGATTAGCACAAGGAGAGAGGGCTGACTAGGATTTTTTAAAAAGAAGTCTAAGAAGAGTACATTATTTTTTCCACATTAATAAAGTCAAATGTGCACAGTTTCTACAACCTTGTAATTCCACTCCCAGAGAAATCCTTACATCTGCAGCAGGAACTATGCGTTGTATTATTCACAGAAGTATTGCTCACAATAGCAATAAACTGGAAACAGCCCAAATGTCCATTAAAAGTAGAATATATAAGTAACATTGTGGTATATTTATACTATACAGCAGTGAAGATGAATGAGCTATAACTACACACCTAAGTGGCATGAATTTTGAAAATGCAGAATTTAAAATATCACAGGAGAACACAATGTGACTCCATTTCTATCAAGTTTTAAAATAGGTAAAAACAAGTAACATATTGCCAGGGCTGCATCTGTGGCTGTTACAACCATAGAGAGAAGCAAAGGAATGGTTAACCCAGAGTTGGGGACAGCCTGGGTCCTGCTCATGTTCTATTTGTGAAGCTGGGTGGTGGGTATAGGGAGGTGTTCTAATTTTCAAACTGTCCATATACACCCTTATATTCTTTCATGTTTCACAACAAAGAAGTCATTTAGAAGAGGGAATGAGAAAGGTGCATGGACTTTGGTCATGGGCCAGCGGGTGTAGGGCAGGGCCTGCTTATTTCAGTGTTAGCTGAGATGCTGTGAAACACATTTCATGTTCACGGGAATGATGCAGTGGAGACAGGGAGATGGTAGTTACATGGCAGAGGGAACAACAGTGGAGCCAGTCTGTGCAAGATGGGCTAAGGCAGGATCCAGCGACCAGGGAGGCGCTGACTTTCATTGGGGCCTTTCCCATGGTCACAGGGACAGGGACTCAGGACACAAATCCAGGTGGGTTTGTAGATGAGGAAATAAGAGGGTGTGGATGACAGAAAATAGATACACTGGTCTTTGTGCTGGTTCCTGACAGGGGGAGCTGGAACCCTCGTGACTGCCCAAGCATAGGAGCACTGGAGCACTTCTGTCCTGCGCAGTCCACTCTGGGTGGTGCCTGGACGGGCAGGTCAGCAGAAAGACCAGCGGTGATGAGACGCTTGGTGCTTTCACCATTCACCCGCACTGCCTCCATTTTCAGCCACTCTCCCCTCTGGAGAAGGGGGGTTGAGCAGGTCTGACCCCCTCTCCATCTTGGCTGAGACAGGTTACCTTGTTCCTGAGGGCACTTACTTGCAAGCCTGTAAGGACAGTTCACTGAGGTATATGGCTCCTCTTCACAGCTGCTTCAGGTTGCCCAGGCACCAGGTCCCATCCATCACTGGGACTTGGAATGTGAAGCAAACAGGCTAGCAGCCAATGTTTCTCCTAAAGGAGGCCCACTAAGTGCCCAGGAGCATTTGGTAGAACCAGGCAACTGTTTCCAAGTGAAGAAGCTCATGGCAGATGGACGAGGTGCAATCCTGACGGGCGCCCGAGCCCTCCCAAGTTAGGGCAGGCTGCAGAGTCCAGGTGCACTGCACCATCCAGTCTCTGGAGGTGGCTGCCTCCCTGACCAAGTTGAGAGGCAGCCCCCAACTCCTATTAGCTTTTCCCTTGGTCTTAATAAGAAGGAAACTATTCACATTTCCCAGTGTAGGGCCAAGGTATGATACTTTTTGGGAGGATTTTCCTTTTGGGGTAAAGAACCAGAGGGACGTTTGAGAGGTCTCAGCAGTACTCTGGGCTCAGAATTCATGAGGAAATAATCAGCTGCCTCTTTCTAATTTACCTCTTAGAAAGTATAGCAGGAATCATTAATTTGTTACCACAGACTTCTGCAAATTTAGAACAAGGCCAATGTCTGGGTGATAAGGACAACTTTAGGAGCAGACCATAATGTGGAGAAAACTCTTGCTTTCCAGTGTATTTGGCATCCTTTCTACAGGCAAGACCAGTTGCTTTACCAAATCTGAGTCTGGGACCAACTTGTTATATTCTATTAGGAACCTATTTGGACTGGGGTGGGGGGAGTTCCCTCTGGTTCCTGTCCTTTGGGTGAGAACAAATGGCTGATACACCATTCCCACTTAAGAGTTAACAGGCATTGAGAGATCACAAGACCGCCATTACTTATTTAACAGTAAATCACGTTAACTCTTAATTCAAGAGGTTCTGAATTAGTCAAGGGAAATATTACTTGGTTAGGTACAAGGCCAGTGGAGGAGGGGCAACAGAGCGGGTCCGTACCAAGTGAACTGTAACCTAGGCTCCTGCTCCTGACACTCTGTGATAGGGTGCCAGATGCACAGCAGGGCATTCCTCTCATGGGTCTGTTCCCTGCCTGCCTGGGGAACACTTCCTCCCTTCTCGGTTTTGCCTTCATTCACCAGAGGCCAGGCTGCCACCCTCGGCCTGTGAGGGGTGTGCTAATGCTCTCCTTGGCAGCTAAAGAGCTGGCCTATGAACCTGAGCTCCAGAGGAATTCATGCAAGTAACTGTCCATGTGAACACAAAAGCAATACATGATGGAGGGACTGCCGTGTCTCTGCAGAGCAGATGGGATTCCTGGGTTTTAAAAATAACCTCCCACCCCTGAACACAAACACATTAACAACTGTACTTTCCTGGAGGTCAGAAAGCACTATAAAACATTTCTTATAAAAGTATTTTTTAATAAATGATGTATTTCAATGTTGTTAACATGATAGCCCAATGCTTTATCAAGGTAGCAAAAGTGAAGATTCCTGGTATTTTTTATATAAACCCTATGAATGACAGTACATTTGCATTCAACTTCACAAGAAATATCTTCAGGTTCATGGAGATTCTCTGACAGCCGTGACACCTTTCAGACAGTGAAGATGTGTACTGACTGAGCAGACAGCACAAGTCTAATTGAGCTATGCTCTAAAACCACACCAGAGAAGGGGACAATATGATGCTAGCACAGCCAGCCTGCTGAACAAAACCCAAGTCATTGAAAGAGACTGTCAAAATGACAGAGTATCTCACAGAAATGGAGCCATAAGACACATGGACTACAACCCTGGAGCAGAGAATGTGTTTCTACCCGTTTTGAGA